TCTTGAAAATTTGTTAGAACGCTCCTTGGTGTGCCAGATGAAGATTATGGGAGTCTCAACCTGAAAAAAAAACCTATTTTAAAGGTTTTTGAGTGCGTTCTTAGACTTTTAAGTATTGTTCCGGCGAAACTTCAGGAAATTCCCAACCGCAAAATGAAATGAAAGTCATTGTTAGCCCCTAAATTTGAGTGGTCCCTAGAGGGGTCTTTAAATTGATAGTACTTATTTTATGAAACTTGATCGATTAATCCTGTGGTGATATTTTTTCAGTCAAAAATGTCAATTTTTGTGTTTTCAGAGGGCAAAATTGCAGTTTGGGATAGGTGATCAGGTTGAATGATAGTCAGAACATCTTGGTCTTGAAAGGAGCATAGGAATTCGCTTCCAAAAAGTTTCGAGGTGAAGGAAACGGATTTGAGAAACATAAAAAGTGTCAGCTCTCTTTTTCGAGTATTTAGCCATCATAACAGTTTTTTTCTCGTTCATTGAATCTTTTCAAGAAATTTTCTCTACAAGTAAGTTAAAAGCTTCAGAAGTTTCACTACGATCCTTGGGAAATTTCTGGCTCTTGAAGAACGATTTTGGTTCCAAAGTTTCAGAGCTCTCCAGAGCATCTTTCACAAACGAAAAAACGAATAAATTCAATAAATAAAGGGCAAATAACAAAAGAACTGGACCAAATAAACTATTGGGCAGTGAGAAGCTTGGCCAAAACGATGTTACAGCTTTTAATTATGTCCTTCGGTCGTCCCCCATCAAATAGTCTATTAGAGACAGTCTAGACCTTTTTCCCGAAAACAGAAACAATAGAAAAAGAGAACAGAACAATAGAGTTAGTAATACAAAAATATATGAAAGTATGAGTCAAGCTATTGTCTTGAGAAACGACGGGGGCATTTTTCTAATGGGATTTGGCCGGTTTTTCTGATCTTTGAAAAGGAAATTCGGGGCTGGACGAGGTTGATTTTTGAGCCTTTGAGGTCTTGAAACGATTGAAAAAATAGTGCGGGAAAAGGAGAGGTTTCTAGAGCAAGCGGCTGAAGTTTCAAAATTATGAAATAATGGTAGGGAAGCTCTGGAGAAAAAAAAGTTTGAGAAGCTCTAAAATTGAACTGATTATAGTTTTCTTCACAAATCCAAGTAGTCAGAAAATCAAAAACTAACAAAATTTTGGATTTATCTGCGGAAGAAAGGAAAAATTGGGTTCCATAACGAATGGATTTCTTTCAATCAGACAAAAGAAGATCAAAAATGACTTTTCGAGTCGATTTTTGGAGGATTTTTGGGAACTGATAAAATCAAAGGGATTTTGAGCAAAAAGGGTCTGAAAAATGGTCTATGCCTAATTTTACCTTGAAAAAAATGAGAAAAAAAGATTCTGAAAATCATCGATCTGGCGCCAAAAAAGAAGCCAAAAAAAATGGTCATTTTGAGTCAATTTTTAGGGGTTTTAGGAAGATTTTCTGACAGAATTTTAGAAATTCCTATTAAAAAGGACATACCAAATTTTTCTAGCTCGCTCCAACCTCGAAAAATTAGGAAAGGTTCTTGAAAATCACAAAAATAAAATGGTCTATGGTCATTTTGAGTCGATTTTTGGAAGTCTTTAAGAATAATCACAAAATTTTGGGGAAATGGATCCAAAAAAATTTCTAAGCCTGTATTTGAATGTAAAAATCGGAAAAGGTTTTGAAAATCATCGAAAAGTCATAGGAAAGCCAAGAAAAATGATCTATGGTCATTTTGAGTCGATTTTTCGAGGGTTTTAAAAATATCTTCTGAAAGAATTTAATAAACTTTGAGCCCAAAGAGTCTAAAAAGCTCTCTGAGCCTGATGTAACCTTTTGAAAAAATAGAAAATTCTGAAAATCATCAAAAAGTCATAGGAAAGCTAACGAAATGGCCTATGATCATTATAAATCGATTTTTAAACGGTTTCAAGCAGATATTTTCACATAATCAAAAAACTATAGGGCAAAAAGGATCTACAAAGTTTTCTAAGCCTGTTTTTGAATGAAAAAATTGGAAAAGCTTTTGAAAATCCTCCAAATGTCATAGAAAAGCCAATAAAAGGTCTTCAAAAAATGATCCATTGTCTATTTTTGTGAAAAGCTTTAGATGAAAGGAATATCCCAACAAACAAAGGAAATCAACAAAAAGTTGAAGGATTAGCCATTGTGAACATAATTCGACAATAGATCCTTTTAACTGTCAAAAGGTCGAAAAAACGTTTCCCTCTTTTTTTCTGACAAATGTGTCATTCTCGCGCCCCCCCGAGAGTTAATTGTCCATTGAGTTTTTGATTGATTTGCCTCTTTTTTTTTGTTTTTCTTTGGGAATGGTTTGAAACGTTTTGCGGTTTGTTTCAATGCAATTTATGAGTGTTTAGTTTGCAGTTTATGAAAAAAAAATGGAACAAAAACAAAGAGAACGTTACGCTTGTCAAATTATGTTCACAATGGATAATCTTTCAACTTTTTGTTGATTTTTTGGTTTTGGGGATAATTTATTATCTATCCATCCAAGTAGGACAACGTATCATCTTTTGAAGGCATTTTTATTGATTTTTCCAGGATTTTCAGGAGATTTTGAGAAGGTTTTCCGAAATCTTAAAGGCACATGGGCAGTAAAAACTGGGGTTTCAGGTGAAAGCAGTATCTTGTATAGTTTTTCTTTGCGAATCCAGCGGTGTACTCAAAAAAATTACAGCTGTGACAACTCTAGAAGAAAAACGCGATTTCACTTTCCCGCCTTTGATTTTGAAAAAAGCTTTGGATCGGTATGCAGACAACTGTTTACAGTAGCCGTGCACGCGATGTTGCGGACGTCTCGTTAGACTCGCATTTTGTGAGAAATAATCGAATATCTGCTTCAAATTAAGGGTTTCTTCTCTGAAAAATCGATTAAGAAAACAGAAAAACACATATTGATAATAAAGAAAACACAAATAATCGCTATCCCAATCGACACCTTTGTAAAATCATCATTTAACACCAGAAACGCTTTTTTGCGATCAAAGTTCGCAAATTATACATGAATAGAAAGCTTTTGTGACGAAAAGAACTTTGGTGACAACGGAAAAATTGAAAATTGAAAGAAACGAAGAAAAAAACGAAAATCCGAAAAATGGCGAAGCCTGTTGTCCATAGAGCGACTTTACTGCAAAACGCCCTTTTCGCGAGAACTCTCTTCTCTCCGACTTTGAATAATTTTTTCTTCAAAACTAGGAACTTCTGTACGTTCCCAAGTTCACCGTTCGATTCGCAATGAAAAGCTCTACAAAATACTGCCTTAAACTGAAACACCGTTTTTCACTGCCCCTATGCCTTTAAGGTTAAATACGGCATTTGAAGCTAGGAAAACCATTTTTATACAAAATTCAAGGAATAATTGATCGATTATTTTCTTCAAAAAAAAAAAATTGCCAATCCTTTAAAATATATCTAGCCTAACATTTTTTTATCATCTTCAAGGCTTTTTTTGATGGGTTTTTTTAGAAGAAATCATATCTTTTTTTCTATAATTCGAACTTTTTTTCGACAATTTCTAAAAAAATTTACAGATTGGAAACAGTTGAAAAAAATGGCTCTTAAATAAATTCAAAAAAAGATAAAATTATATTCCTACTTCCTTCTTAAGTCTTATTTTTTTCTAGCGCAGAATAAATAAGGAAATGAATAAATCAAGCCTTGGATTCTCAAATAATAACTAGGTATGAACTGGAAAAAGTCGAGAGTTCAGTTTTTTTCCGGAAAGATGAAACTTAATTATATGGGTTTGAATAAACTTGAAAGTAAAATGAATTGTCTGGATGAAAACTAAAATTTTTCTTGTCTCAAAAAAAAATTTTTAAACAGTTGCTGTGCAATTTGAAGTCACAAAAAACGCCTTGTCTCTCTTTGAAAACGGAAATTGGAGCTTTTTTTCAATCTTCAAGGTCTTTAAAATTGTAAGAAACTTTTAGGAGCTCTCGCAACAATATTTTTGATTCTGAAGCTTTCAAAACACTTTCTAAATACCTCAAAAATGCCTCGTTTTGCCCCTTTTTTGCATATTTCATTTTTTTTGTTCGATTCTGAAGCTTCTAAAGGTTTTTTTTGAACCATAATATAAGCTTTGGAAGACCTTTTCAACTTTTATTTTTGTTCTAAATCTTTCAAACTTTTTTGGTTCAAGTCGGAAGCTTTTAAAAAGAGCTCCAAGCTAGCAAAATCAAAATTTGGCAGTTTCAGAAACTTTTAGGAGCTCTTGGAACAATATTTTTGATTCTGAAGCTTTCGAAACACTTTCTAAAGTGAATAAAACCTAAAAAATGCCTCGTTTTGCCCCTTTTTTGCATATTTCATTTTTTTGTTCGATTCTGAAGCTTCTAAAGGTTTTTTTGAACCCTTATCTTCTTCTTCTTCTTACGCCTTTGTACCGCTTGAGCGGCGTCGGCGCCCCAAGTAGCCGAGGTCCTATCCTGATGATAATCAGTGGACTGGCTCCAGTGACATATCCGTCCTTGTGTGTGACGGCTGGGGATTTTGAAGTCGTGGTTTCCCACTACCCACATTTCTTAAACCCCTTGGTTGGGTCGGGGCGGGGATCGAACTTGTGACCCTGTGGACCGTAGACAGGCACACAACCTGTTGCGCTACGGCGCACCCTTTTTTGAGCCATTATATCTGCTTTTAAAGCTTCCTGAAGATTTTTCAAACTTCGATTCTTGTTCTAAATTTTGAAAAATTTGTCGGTTCAAGTCGGGAGCTTTCAAAAAGACGTTATAGTTGGATTTTGAGAATCCTAGAAAGTTCTCAAGATTCAGATTTTATAGTTTGAAGGTTTGAGAAGACTTATAGCGTCAGAAATTGCTTCTGAATGTTCTAGGGGTCTGTGGAAGGTTCAAGATTGTCTCTGGAAATGATTTTCGATGTTTTTGAGAGCTTTCCAACGTCTGTAGCTTCTGAAGATCTTTTAAACGTCAAGTCCTGCATTTCGAGACCCTAGAAAGCTCTAGAATGTCAATTTCTGATCCTGACACTTCTAAAGAGCTTCACAACGTCAAGTTCATTTTGGAGGTTCTGAAAATCTTTGATTTTTGGTCCTTTGAGTGTATTCTGGATCGTCGAAATTTGATTCTGAAGCTTCTGAAGACGTTCTGACGTCGAACCTGATTTTGATGGTTATTGAAAGGTCTGAAGCTTCCCTGAAAGACTCTGAAAAGTAGAGAACTCTTTCAGAATCTTTGAAAGAGCGTTTCAAGATCAAAAACTCACTTTGAAGCTTCTAAAAAACTTTCTACCGGGAAAAATACTCTTAAAAGCTTCCTTTACTCTGAATTTTTTGCAAAAATCTCACTAAAGGTGTCACTTTTTATTACGGTTCTTAGGAAGGAAAAAAAATCATTAAATTATTTGAAGTTCACTTATGGTAATACTTGAGATGAAGCCCAAAATAAAACCGCAAAGACAGAATTTTTCAAAATGTATTCTGATCTGTCTGCGCTCTCTTTCCTCTCACCGACAAAGACATAGAAACATGAAAATAGCATGTAAACATGAGAGACTCGCCGAGAAATCAGACTGTTTAGCGGCTAGAATATACTTTGGTGGAAAAAAATCTTGTTTTTTTTTTCTAATTTCTCACAAAAATGTCACTTCGAAGCGGGGCATGTCCAACAAAAACAGAGACAAGAGAGAAGCGCGCGCCAAGGCTCCGCCCCCTTCGAAAAATTATTTTTTTGCCGCCGTCGCGCTCCTTTCCTCCCAACAACGACCGTGGCATTGACGTCTTCTTCTTCTTCTCCTCTTCTTTCTTTCTCTGTATATTTTTTCTGTTTCACCAGCGCCATAAAGTTTCACCAGAAGCCAGGCTCCGCCCACCGGAATTTCGCCGGCCACGCCCACTAATTCAATTTGACTGCACTGCCAGTGAACGGTTTTTTACCTGGCCCCTCGGCACTGTTTTACCAGTCAGTTTTCGGAAGTTTCGACCGCGGCGACGACGACGAGGACTTCTTCATATTCTGAAGCTTTTTTGACGTCGGATTCTGAAGGAGACCTCATTCTGAAGCTACTAGAAAGCTTGGCGACGTCATATTTTGATTCTGAAGCTACTAAAAGGCTTAGTGACGTCATATTTGGATTCTGAAGCATCTGGAAGGCTCAGTGACGTCGTATTTGTATTCTGAAGCTGCTAGAAAGCTCAGTGACGTCAGATTCTGATTATTAGGCATCTGAAAGGCTCATTGACGTCATTTTTTGGATTCTGAAGCATCTGGAAGGCTTAGTGACGTCATATTCTGATTCTGAAGCTGCTAGAAAGCTCAGTGACGTCATACTTGGATTCTGAGAGGTCTTGACGTCAATTTTTGGATTCTCAACGTCGACATCCGATTCTGAAGTTTCTTGACGTCAATTTTTGATTCGGAACCTTTTGGCACGACCTCCAACTACCTCTTCTACATCCAGAAGACGTTATTTTTGAGCTTCTGAAGCTTGGAAAAAGCCCCCGACGTCTTCGTCTTTTTAATCCCCGACTGCTATATAGCCCTTCCGCCTGCCACTGTGTATTATGAAGCTGCTGCTACCTCCGCCGCTTTTACTTTTCATACCAGGTACGCTGTTCGTTTTCTTTTCTCTTTTTTTTTACTACATTCATCCGTTTCTTGTTCACTTTTTGCATTGTTTTCCCCCACGTTTCCTGATTGTTTTCTTTTTTTTTTGAGTTGATCCAGCTTCAAAGTGAGAAAGGTCAACCTTTTTTGTGATTTCTGCCAAAAATGGGGTTAGAAATCTGATTTTTATGACTGAAATATTGAAAAAAAGGCTTAGAAGCAAGCAAAATTACAGTTTTTCAGTACTTATCTTTCTTTTTTGATGGAATTTTGCTATGAATTATTTTTTTTTTTGATGCTTGGCTAGCCTATCGGCTCATCTATAAGAAACTCTCTTACAGTATTTTAGAAATAAAGGCAGAAAAAATGATTTTTTGAATTTTTACACGAAGTTCAATGAAAAAAATACTCGGAATGTTGTTTTAAATATGGAAAATTGAATGAAAACTCTGATTTTTGAGCTCATTTTTCAACCATTTTTCTGTAGAAAATTTGACCTTTTTGGTAACTTTTTAAAGGCGCAGAGCGGAGCCAAGAAAATTCGTTCTGAGACCCAATGTTGGAATTTATATGCTCTTGTTCTTTCTATTTCCTCTGAAGCCTTTGAGTACTATTCTTTACTTTTTTTTTTTGCTTTTGTGATAATTTTGAAGACACAGGATGGAACCATTTATAAATCGTTTCAAGACCCAATATTCCAACCCAACTAGTTCATCTTCACTCTCAACTTTTCTTGAACCTATATAATTAAGTTTTTTCTTGGAAAAAAAAACTGAACTCTCGACTTTTTCCAGTTCATACCTTGTCTTTATTTGAGGATCCTCGTCTTGATTTATTTATTGATTTATTTATTTATTAAGTGTGAGAAGAGTTTTTTAAGGTTCGGTAGGGAAAATATAAAAAAAGGAGTATATTGGGAGGTTTTTGGAATGACTTTTATATGTTGAAGTTGAATAGAAAACGGTTAAAAAAAGATATTTCGATCAATTTATTTTTACCAATTTTAAAGGCGCAGGGCGGAGCCAAGGATATAATCGTTTCGAGACCATTTTTCCTCTCAATTGGATGAATATTTCAATTTTCTATTCGTCATTTAATCAAGAGTTTGCCAGATTTTTTTTGGACTGTTTCATTCGTTTTAAAGGCGCAGGGCGGAGCTTAGATTTAGATCTTTTCGAGACCCGATATTTTCAGTATTTGCTACAGATTGGATTTTCTTAAGACATAATATTGATATCCGTCCTCGAAAAATTTTGGGAAATTTTCAAATTAGGGATTTTGAGAAAATTTTAAAGGCGCAGGGCGAAGCTTAGAATTAGATCCTTTCGAGACCCGATATTTTTCTGATCTAGGCCGTGCCAAAAATTATCTTTTCTTGACCGTTATTTGACTCGTTTTACTAGAAGGTCTATCAATGATTTTCATTGAACTTTCAAAAAATTTAAAGGCGCAGATCGTAGTTTGGAATTGGATCTTTCCGAGACCCAATATTCTTATGATTTTCGATTCTCAGATGTTTTTTTTGTCGTTTTTTTGTCAAATTTTGGGCGGATTTCTCTGAAACTTTCCATGAGCGTTTTCCATTTCTCAAAGTTCTCTTGTTTCGCTACGATCGTAAATAATCCTTCCCCATTGTTACCACTTTCTTTTGTCTTTTCTCCCATTTCTTCTTTTTTTTTTCCTCATCACGCTGACCCCTTGTCATCAGTTGTTACAACACCAACAAATGTACACCCAAAAACTTGAGAACTACACTTTTTTAAGGTTTTTTCTTACACTATCAAGTGGTTTCGTCTTCTTCTCGGTATTTTGATAAGGAAATGGGTTTTTCGAGAATCGAAAGATCGGTCTAGAAAAAAAAAAGCCAAAAAAAGAGGAAAAATACTAGAAAAAGGATATTTTCCGAGGGAAAAGCTTGGATTTTTGTACCTTTCTTTATTGAAAAAAAATAGTCGTAGTTCACTCATAAAACGGTGCTTTGTAGTTTTTCGGGCCAAGACCATTTTTTTAGGCGTCTCTATGCGCCTTTAAACGACTCGAAATTAGAAAGAAATTTTTGTGCACATAAAATCGACAGAAACTTCCTTGAAAACACTTTTTTTCTGGACAAGAATGACTAGGGCTCCATCATGGAAAGCTTTTTTTCTTTTCGTGTCGAGAACTTTTTGCCAAGCTCTTCCCTGCGCCTTTGAATTTTTTTCAAAATGGGTTTTTTTAAAATTTTTTTCTTGTTCTTCTTGTTTTTATTCTCGAATTTAAGTATAATTTAGACCTTTCAAAGATTTTTTTAATTTGTTTTTGAAAGACAGTAGGATCTTTATAATTTTTCGGAATTTGAGAATTTTCATCGTTTTGAAACGAAATTAAACTGAAATTTGGTGAAAAAAATTTTTTTTTTTCTCAGCTATTTTAGTTTTCAAAGTTCGTTCCAATGAACATAAGATTGCCTGGTCAAGTTTTACGATTTTTCGAGCCAACAAAAAGTGAAAAATCAATGTTTAGCGGATCAAAAATGAACAAAATCCCCAACTTCCCACGCCTTCGGAAGTCCAGGAACCTTTTAACCGCCATTATCTCATCATTAACCGACGATTACGCAATCAGGGGGGAAAAGCATGTCTTCATCATCATCCGTCTTTTTTCTTTTTCGGACATCCCCCCTCATTTATCATTGCCCTTATCAGGGGGCGCCTTGAATATATATATATATGTATATATCGATTGGAATTGTTTGGAAAAGGAAAATTATAGAAATGTGAACTTTCTTTTGAAATTGTGAAGGAAAAATCATTAATTTGAAGCTTTTAAACTTGAAAATGGCTTCTCTTGCATCTATTTTTGAAAAATAACGTTTTGGTCATTTTTTGCGTTTATCATGTCCATTTCGAAAGCTAGAAAAATAACCTGTTTTTTTTAATTTCCGTGGTCGCACTTGGAATGGCTGAGAGGGTCGTGTTTTGACTGAAAATGATGCGAAAAATGAGGAAAAATGGGTTTTTTAAACCGATTTTTAGTCCCAAACAGATTAATTATGAACTTTAAAAGTGACGGAAGAGTTTTTAGAAAATTTTGGACGCATTTGGAATGGCTCAGAGGGGCTCACAACGACACGAAAAATGAGAAAAATAAAGAAAAATGAATTTCTGCCTAAAAATAGTTGAAATTCAATATCTAAAACTGATAAAAGTTGTTTTGGACATCCTGGACGCATTTGGAATGGCTTACTGAGAAAAAATTAGCAGAAAAATTGACTGTATTTGACAATTCTCACCCAAAATTTGACGGAAAATTGTATAATTTGGAATTTTTTCAAAGGGATTTCGAATTTATCTGTTAAGGGGTCCCTTAAGGGAATTCTAGCGAATTTTTGGACCTTGATCTTAATTGTTAAGGGATCACTTAAGGGGACTCTATCGGTTTTTTTGGACCTCGAATATAACTGTTAAGTGATCACTTAAGGGAATTCTAGCGATTTTTTTAAAAAGGTACTCTTTTTAAAGAAGTGTGTAAAAATTTTTCATTTTTTTATCAATTTTTTTGGACTTTTTTTCATGTAATCTTATCCTTTGAGTCCAATTTTTACGCTGAAAAATGAGGATTTTTCTGCAAAATTCACTTTTTTCGAGAACTTTTGTCTGTTTTTAATCAAATTAAAAATATTCCTCGTCTATTTTTAGGCATTTTTCACTGCCCTTGAAGTTCTTCAACGCTAATTTGAAGTTTCGGAACCATTAATCAATTTAAAAAAATCAAAAAAATAGTGGTCAAAAAAAGAGTTTTTTTACAGTTTGATGTCATTTTTTACAAAAAAACATGAAAACCAAGCTTTTTCCTTTCGTTTTTTTCCGACCAAAAAGGCCCTCCGTTTTGATTGGATTAAATTTTTTTGACAAGTTTTTTTCTTTCCCTCGCTTTTCCTTCTTCGGTAGAAATGTTGACGACCTTGTTCTTTCGTGATTGTTTTGATGAGTTTTTGACAATGGGGACTTTTTTTGGAAAGTTTTTTTGACATTTATAAGTAGTGATTATGAAAAAAATCATTTTTTTCACGATTTTTAAAATTTTTTTTCACAGAGAAAATTGATGAACTAATGAGATAATCACCCTTTAAAAAAATTGAATAAATAAAATATTTAGTACCTTTTTTAAGAGAGAGGCTTTTTTTCATGATTTTATTACCTTTTTTTCAGAGACTCAGAAGCCTGGAAAAAGCTCTAAAAAAAATTTTTCGTCTCGAGACCTTTTTTTGAAATTTACCCATGCGCCTTTAAAAATCCCTAATTTTTTTGGTTTTTTTAGCTTTTTTTAAATCGGTTTTTTTGATTTCTTTCTTATTTATGTTTATGGTAAGAGCTATAATAGTAGAAAATAACCGAAATCAATAATTTTTTTAACTTTTTTTCGCTTGATTTTTCTATATAGTAAGGCCGAAAAATATTGACAAAAGGATCCCTTTTTCCAAATTTTTTTAGTACATTTTTCTCATTTTTTTCTTGTCTTAATTCACATTTTTAGGCCGAAAAAAAATTAGCCTCAAAAAAATTTCATTTTTTTGCATTTTTTTCATTTTTCCTGGTATCTATTAACATGGCTAGGAGATGAAAAAAATCGTTCAATCTCTCAAAAATAACTTTTTTTCAACTTTTTAGTTTATTTTCACTACTTTCCTTGTACTCATTTACATGGTAAGGAGGCGAACAGTCGGTCAATCCCCCAAAATAATTTTTTTAACTTTACGATATTTTTTTACTACTTTTTCTTGTACTTATTTACATGGTAAGACGGCGAAAAATTGGGCCTAGAAATCGTTCGATGGCTTGTCGACGGGAAAACTCTATAAAACGGCTATTTAGGCGTTTTTTTCTTCCGCCGACGCGCAACGCCAGCGTCTTTTTTCTTCGCGTTTTGCGTGTGTTGAGAGGGACGCCGATGCGCTTTTCCGATCAATTGCCGTGATTTTGAGGCGCGACGCAACAATTTTTCAAAAAAGGGATCGATTTTAATTGGGGAGATAATGGGGCAAAAGCTGGGTTTTTGGCTCAAAAATGGTTGATATGAGGCTTTTTTGGACTTTGATTGTGTGCTCTATTGATAATATTCCTTCAATTTTATTCTTTTTTTGGAGGTTCGAATGATTTTTCTAAGAATTGATACACTGAAAAAAAGAGAAAGAAATAACAAAATTCTTGATAAGGCTTTTTTTAAACTTCATTTATATGCTCTATTGATAATATTTTTTTCGTATTGGTTCTTTTTTTGCTTTTTTTGAAAGGCTAGCGTGATTCTTCAAGAAAGAATGAACTGAAAATCAAAAAAATTGACAAAATTCCTGGTTTTGAGCTCATAAATCGATGATAATTGGCTTTTTTTGAGCAACACATTTGTGCTCCATTGATAATAATCTCAAAATTAACTCTTTTTTTGCTTTTTTTGAGAGGCTAGCGTGATTTTTCAAAGTAGGAATGAACTGAAATTGAAAAAAAAAATGGCAAAATTCTTAGTCTTGAGCTCAAAAAATCGTCGGTAGGCTCTTTTGGGCTTCGTTTATGTGCTCTATTGATAATAACCTTTTGAATCGGCTCTTTTTTTAGAAGGTTTGTATGATTTTTCAATGAGAGATTGATTAAATTCGAAAAAGGATCGGGAAAAAGCTGAGTTTTGAGCTCAAAAATTGTTGATGTGAGGCTTTTTTGAACTTTGTTTATGTGCTCTATCGATAATATTATTGGAACGGCTCTTTTTTGGGAGGTTCGTATGATTTCTAAGAAATATAATGATCAATATTGAAGAATAGTCGGTGAAAACCTGACTTTTAGCTCAAAAAACGAGGATAGTAGGCTTTTTTGAGTTCAACTTGTGCGCTCTATTGATAATATTTCTTCAAGTCAGCTCTTTTTCATCTTTTTTCTAGACGGTAACATGATCTTTTAAAAAAGACCAACTGATTTTGAAATTGAGAAAAGGCTAGTTTTTCAGCTCAAAAATTCGTTTATATGGCTTTTTTGACATGTGTTTATGCGCCCTATTGATAATATAACTGTAATGTCGATTTTACGAATCCTTAAGTATTTTTTTTCAACAATTTGAGTCTCTATTTCTGTTGATTAAAGTTTTAATTTCAATAATGGACCTCGATTTTTTGATTTTTTTTTTTCAATGGGAAAAACTTATCGTAACGGAAATCAGAAAGTATTATTTTTTTGTATTCCAAGCTTATTTGGATCTTTATCTAAATTTCGTTTACTCCATTTATTTTGAATAACTTTTTTTCGAACCCAACGAGAAACCTGACCATTTTCCCATGAAAATCTCGTTCTCCTCAACTTTTTCCTCCTTTTCTTGAGGCTTCCATCGAAATTGAGTTATTCCTCGGGTGGAAAATTCAAGTTTCTTGTCATTAATTTGCCTTTTGAGACTAGAAAGTATCGAAGAAGAAGAAGAAGAACTTTTTCCCCCCGGTATTTAACCTTGAGTCGAGTATCACTTTATCACCAAATTCTCTGCTTTTCCGACCTTGGGCCACATTTTTCCGCCGTTTCCAAGCTGAAAGTTTTAAGAAGAAAGAAAAAATTGATATAAAAGCTCAAAAATTATTCAAAAAATGCAGAATTTAGAGGAAATATTTTTGGCTTTATTGCTTTTTTTCAAGCGTAAACCTACAAATAAAGCGATGGAAAGTTTTTTTGGACATTTTTTTCAAATTTCTTTAAGAAAAAGAACATGTAGAGCTTGAAAAAAATCGTAGTTCTTGCCTCATTTTTTTCCGATTTTTTTATCGTTTTTTAAGCTCAAATTTGTAAATTTATGTAAGGTTAACAGCAAAAAAATTCGTGTTTTTTTGTAAGTTTTTAGCCAAAAATTTCCTTATTTTTCTTTCGTTTTTACTCGAATTTTTCGAATTTTTTTCAGGGTTAAAAAGCAAAAAAATTCGTGTTTTTTTGTGATTCACCTACTGAAACTTTGATCAATCTCAAGGAAAAAAATCATGTTTTACCCTGTTTTTTTCAAACTATCAATTTTGATAAAACAAAAAAAGCTCGGAAAAAAATACTCGTTTTTGTTTTTTTCTTCATGCTCAAGGCTGAATATTTTTCCACTTTTTTCCTTTTTATTCTCTAAAATTTCATTTCTCTTATTGAATTTTTCTAAGAAAAAGCTTGAAAAAAAGTAGTTTTTTTGCCCAATTTTTTTGACACTTTTCATCGTTTTCAAGCTGAATATTTCAAGTTTAACGTCAAAAATCCGTCTACTTTTTTTCTAGCTAAAATTTTGATCAATCTCAAAAAAAAACATATTTTTGAAGCTAGAATCTTTGCGAAAATCCAAAAAATTCCTCGGATTCGGAAGATAAAAGCCATCGCCAAAACGACGTGTTAATCATTGAACGCTTGTTTTTGTTGCCGCCCGATTTTATTGATTATGTCCAGAAGAGGCCGATAAGAGGTGTTATGTTATCACAATTAACGTCAGCTTCTGCGCGCGGGGGGCTAATTTGATCTATTTTAATTATTGTGATTTTTTTCGAATTTTTAAAAAAATTTCGTTGGGAACATAATGAAGATTAAAAACAGCCGTGAATATCTGGATACTGAAAAATGGATTTCTTCAAACTTTTCCTTTACGGGTTTTTTAAAATTAGGTTTTCGTGCCTTTTCAGACTCAAGTTTAGTCTAAAGAAAAGCTTTGAATAAAATTCAGAAATGATTTTTTCGATCAGCTTTGGTTTTTTGTACGCTATATAGTCTATATACTTGCTTCAAAAATGATTTCAAGCTTGATTTTCGAAAAAAAGACGTTTATTTTTCTCCTTACAAACCTTTTTTTATAATCAGTTTCACGATGACTTTTGAGGAATTATCAATTTTTAAAGCTTTTTTCAAACCTTTTTCGTAATTTTCCATACAAAAATGAGCTATCAGGGGGTCATTTATTTAATCAAAATTCAACTTGAAGCTTTTCTGGTGTACCTAGTCATGATAATGAAAAAATCAACCTGTAAAAAAAAGCCCAGTTTTTTTTTTCAAAGTTACCGGAAATCACAAACATCAAGATTTGGAAACTTTGAACCTTATTCATTCAAAGATTGCTAATTTTTGCGAACTAAGAGCGTTCCGATTTTTGTTTAATGGATTTTTTCTTCGAATTTTAAATTTACTTACTGTTTTCCTTCAATTTTTCTATTGTCCTGTGACGTAAAATGCTGTGGGAAAAATTGGCTTTTCCCTTTTTTTCGGCCAATGATGTGTAATGCCCGTCATATCACGTGATTGCATTAAATCGTCTGTTGGAATCATTTTTTGATTTTTTGGAGAAATTAAGAAAATAAAAGTATATATTCAGATGAATATCCTTCAAAAGAAAAAAATCGCATTTTTTTAAAAAAATTTCTATTGTAGAAAAATTTCGGAAGTAGTCGATATTTCTGACCAATTTGAGGGTCTTATAATATTTTTTTATAAAAGAAATATTTCAAAAAGACTCCTATGCATAGAAAATATTCTGAAAATCTTGAAAAATTATTTTTTTCACGGCGAAGTTGTGCAATCTGGCGTCGGAGTGAGCTTTTCGAAATCTTTCGAAAAATGCTTTTTCTTCTTTCTTTTTGATATATATTCTATGTTCCAATTCGAGATATTGATGCTTATCATTATTTTTCCGAATGGATAAAAGAAAATTCATAAAATCCTAAAAGCCTGAAATATTCATTTTTTTGTTGAATTTCCATCGGTTTTTCACATTTTTTCTTCTTTTCATGTGTTGTACTTCAATTTTTGAATAGTTTTATCCAATTTTAAAATTTTTTGTTACAGGAATCTTGGCCCAGACGCTATCACCGCCAATTACGGACCGGTTTAAATGTTTGACCAACGGTTGTTGCGACCAACACGAATGGTGCCGATTTTGGGCCTCGATCGGAGAATGCAATGTTCGTTTTTCATTAATATTTGAGGAAAATATATGATTTAGGATGTTTTGTAAGGTTTCCTTAAGAAAAATGGTTAGTTTGCTGCAGGTTTTATACGAAAATATAACGGAAAGTCAGGGATTTTAGATTTTTCATCGATTTTTAAGCTTGATCGGATGATTCAATGATAGTTTTTTTGGCTAAAAAAATCAAGGAAATTGTTGATATTTTGTTATTTTTGTAAGGTTTTCCTACGAAAAAGGCAAGTTTGTCGCAAGATTAATACAAAAATTGAGTGAAAAATGAGGAAGTTTTCAATTTTTTTCGATTCCGCTCATTTTTCATCCATTTTTGGGCAGTGGAACTCCAAATTTTTTTCACATTTTTTTAAAAAAATGTTAATTTTTGTACGTTGAGATGGCCTTTTTGTGTTGAATTCAATAGGAAAATAATGAAAAAAATCAAGGTTTTTTTGGTTTTTTTCTCATTAGGTTAGTATTTCTAGTTAGTAAACTTTGAAAACTCTAATTTTTTTGTTTCAAAACTGATTAATTTTTAAAGTTTTTTTACAATATAAATGGCTGGTGAAAGGTGCGTTTTTCGAAATTTATATAGTGAGAATGTTAAAGTTTGATTGATAGTTGTGATTTTTGACCTGAAAGATGAATTTTGATCGTTTCGCATCACAAATTTCATAATTTGAAGGTTTTTTGCGTTCAAATCCATCAGTATTAAGTCAATTTTCGTGAAAGATTGATTTTTCAAAGCCAAGTTCAATAGAAAAAGCTCCATTTTAAGAAATTATTTGTTCAAAAAAAAAGATTTTTCCTAAGGCTTTTTTTCAATTTTTGCTTTTTGAAGTTTATGATCTTTTCATTGATTTAACCTGTATCTCTCCGTAGAAAAAAAATGTTTTTTTCGGAGTTTTTTTAAGGAGGAAATAAAAGCCATTCAGAAGGGTTTTTGCATGTTTAAAAATTGGGATCGCTTGGAAAAATCGGATTTTCTGAAGTTTTGGGCATTTTTCGAAGTTTTTCTTTATTATTTTTTTTTTCTACATGTTCTTTTTGGATAAAATAATGGTCTACAAAGTAATTTTTCCAGGCCAACCACGACTGGATGACGGAAAAATTGTCAATTGGCTTGTGGAAGTTGTACGGCGCCGCCTGCTTCTCCACTCCCGACACAAGGTACTTTCTTGATTTATGGAAGTTTTAGGGGTTTTGAACAAGTTTTTGATTAGCGAATATTCTCTTTCTTAAAAAATTTTTTGGCGGGGGGACTTTTTTTGAACTTTTTTTTGGGGGGTACTTGGATAAATGAGGTTTTAGGTCCCAAAATAAATAATTTTTGGGTAGGAATGGATTTTTTGAGGTTTCATTAATTTTTTTCAGAAAAAGGTATAGCTTTAATCTCAAAAAAACAAGGTTTTTCCTAATTTTTTTTTTCCGTGTTTTCAGCAGATTTTTGAGTTTTCTAGTGTAGGAATTCTTAAAAACACGGATTTTCTGTATCTCAGTCCGATTTTTGCTAAAATTATCCATTTTCAAGCAATTTCGGACTGTTCGCACTTTAAAAATCCACTTTTTTCGGTCCTAGTTATAGCCTCAAAAATCAAAGACCAACCAATTTTGACCATCAGAAAAAAAACGTTTCTTCGAGTTCTAATTGGTCAGAGAGTCTCTTTTTTCAGAGGGATTAAAAAGTTGAGGGAAAACTGGTTTGAAGGTACCCGAGAACATGTGTTGGGATGGCCGAAAATGGACTGGCTAGAATATTTTTTTTTTGGGTTTGAAGTTTCAAATTTTCTGAGGGACACGGGGAGCTTAAAGTTATTTTTTATGATTTTTACAGTTCTCAAATTGAAAAAATGTTCCTAATGATAAGTTATGGTGCTAAAAGGGAAGTTAAAATATTAATTTTTGGATCCGTAGTGCTACCGCAACGCTTCAAAAGCCATTCTAATAGATTTTTCAGTTTTTTAGGCCATCAAATATTTCTTAGTTTGCAGTTTCAACCTTGAAATTTGAGTTTGAGCAATTCTTATCTTGATTTTTGAACCGAATAATTAATTTTTTTAAAGCTTCAAAATGTTAAAATATATGGTTTTTGATGGATTATGGTGCAAAAAATGAAAAAACTTCAAAGTTTAATTTTTTTTTTCACTGTCTCATAGCTACCGCGACGCTTCGAAAGTCGTTTAGAAAGATTTTTCAATTTTTCCCAAAAATTATTGTCGCATTTGGAATGGCTCAAAGTGTGGAAAGGTGCGCATCCGACCTTGAAACGACTTGCGCCAAGAAAAAGGCATACGAGAGCAAATTCATAGAGGACTAGACACACCTTAAAAAAATATTTTTTTATAAATTATAACAATTGAACTTCAATTTTTCGCGCCGAGAACCATTCCAAACGCGACCAATTAACTTCAAATTGATGCGGTTCAAGGAAGTTGATCATTTTCGCAAACTGAAAGCAATTTACTTCCGTTTCCAGTGTGAAACGTCAATGAGAACTGTTGAAAATTGTTAAACTGACAGGAAAAAGAAAAGGGCACGGTTCCACAGATAAACCCGCTTTTCACCCGGCTTAAATTGGAGTTTTTACGGCTGGAAGGTTATTTTCTTCCAATTGACACAGACACTTTTCTGTTGGTTTAATTGGGATAGTTTTTTCTTGGAGATTTAGGGGTTTTTCTTAGGGGGGTACATAAAATAAGGAAATTTGGAAGGAAAGAAGTTGATTTTGGCATTGGAGCGTAAATGTGGTCTATGAAAAGACCGTTTGCTTTTACTCACGAATTTTTTTGGATTCTGCTCTTTTTTGAGCTACATATTGTCGTAGAAACTTTGAAAAAACTCGAAAATTTGGAAAAGGCCTAGAAAACTTCAAAAATGAACCCTGAAAGCTAGAAAATCTTGTTAAGGCCTAGAGAGCTCCAAAAAAAAATATTGAAGGTCTTGAAAATCTTAGGAAGCTCAAATAAGACTTTGAAAGCTTAACAAGCTAGAAGACTCTTCAAAAATTTCTCAGTAAGATCGAAAAAATCTCAAAAATGCTAAAAAGTTTCAAAAAATGAACAATGAAAGCCAAGAAAGCCTTGTAAGGACTTTGAAAGTTATCCGAAAAAATTTCAAAAGTGCTGAAAATTCCAAAAATGATACCTAGAAGCCAAGAAAGCCTTGTAAGGGTCTTGGAAGATCTAAAAAAAAAAGCTTTGGAAGTCCTGAAAAGCCTGGGAAGCTCAAAAAAGGGCTTTGAACGATTTACAAGCTAAGAAAATTTTGCGAAAGGCCAAAAAAAATCTCAGACGGGCTAGAAAAGCTTAGAAACCTTCTGAAGGAGGTCAAAAACGAAAATTCCCGAGGAAAACGCCTAAAATGTTTCAAAATCGTGTCCTGAAAAGCCTCAAATTTTCAAAAAAATGCTCTGAAGGTCCTAAATAGCCTAGGAAGCTCAAGGATACTTCAAAAACTAGAAAATTGGTCAGAAATACCCAAAAGCTTCAAAAAGGGCCAGAAAATGTCTCCAGCGAGTTCTAGAGGTCAAAAAATTGCCCCGAAAAAGACTAGAAAGTCCCAAAAAAGTTTGAAATCCCTATAACCTCTTGCATAGCCTAAAATAACCTAGAAAGCTTCAAAAAGGTCTCAAAATCCCAAAAAAAAAAAAGAATCTCAAGACTTCATAATATTCCTCCAATTCCGAATCAAAAAGACATCTTCAAGTTCAAAAAAGCAGCGATCGACAGGAAAAAATATATGGAGTGTGCGATCAAGTGGCCGCCGCTCTTTTTTGGCCCCTTTTCGGAAATTTTCGAGTTTTCCTTCTGTCGTTTTTTCTTTCTTCCGAAGTCATTTCGAATCTTTATGGAAATAAAGGGACGATGAAATGATTTTCAACATAAATTTGAGAAAAATTGATATAAAAATGGATTTTTGAGGCTTCTTAGTTGCTTTTTTCGAAATGAAACTTTATTATTTTTTTTTCAAGCTTGATAGATTTTTTAGTGACTTGAATGGTCATTTAGGCCACTAAGAGGGATGAATTTAAATTTTCTGGTTTCCCGCCAAGCCGCAACGCGACCGCGACGCGTCAAGCCATTCCAAATGCGGTCAATTTTTGGCGAAATGATCTTCAAATTTGTTAGTAGTAAAGGACGACAATTTTTAAATTTTTTTTGAATTTTTTTCCAACTGATGAAAGCCGCATTTGGAATGGATCAAATCGAAAATCTGCATCCGACTTCAAAACGACTTACGCAGAAATATGCTAAAAAGCAAGCCAGAAATTTCCGTTCTCCTTCGCGCAACGCAACCGCGACGCGTCTTGAACCATTCCAAATGCGTCCCGACAAAAAAATTAAAACAATGTTGATTGCTCCACCTTTTGTGATGCATTTGAAGTGATTATTTGGGGGCAAAAACAACCAAAAAACTCTATTTTTCTTCTTTCCTATGAAGATGGAACAGAGAAACCGCCCCGTGTGTTCTCAAGTGTAGGCAGAGGTTTCTTTCAAGTTTTGTTGTCAGTCGAATCGTCGTAAATAATAAGTTTTCTCGGTTTGTTGTTATGGAGAAGAATATTAATGATCGAGAGGGGTTTCCGGTGAGGAAATTGGGATTTTTTGAATTTTTTCAAGGGTTTTTTTTTGAAGACTAATAGTGATTTGAAGAGGGAGAAAAGTAGGTTTTTTGAAATTATATTTTTTTAGGGTTTTGTCGAAGGTCAGAACTTTCCGGTCAGAAAAATATATTTTTTGGAGTTGAGGCTCAACTTTTTCTAAGGCTTTTTTGAAGACTTAATGTGGTTTAGAGCGGTTTTCCGATTTAAAAAGAAGTTTTCTCTGGAAATAAAGCCCAATTTTTTGATTTTCCAACACAATTTGTGAAATTGACTTGAAAATAAATGAAAGAAAGCTGTCTAGAATTGGATTTTGAAAGGTTTCCAGCTTTTTTGTGGGATAAAATGTGTGAATTTTTGAAAAAAAAATTGAGGTTTTTTGGACCTTGAAGCTCATTCACCCGGTTTATTGAGGCTAGAATAGAATTTTGAATGGTTATCAGCTTTTTCTTTGATGAAAATTCAAAGATTTTTGAAATAAATTGACTTTTTTATTATGTGAAGCTCAATTTTTTAACTTTCCAATACGATTTGTTGCATTAAATTGAATAGAAATGAAAGAAAATGAAAATTTATACTGTCTAGAATATTATTTTGAAAAGTTATCAGCTTTTTTGTGGCAAAATGTGTGAATTTCTGGATCCAATGGGCTTTTTTTCAGTGTTGAAGCTCTTTTTTTCACCCAGTTTTTAACAGTTTTTTTTTCATAAATGCCAAGAAAATGGGAAAAATGAAAGTTTAATAGACTAAAAATAGGTTTTTTGAATGGCTATAAGCTTTTTTTGTTTGATGAAAATTTGTTGATTTTTTTGAATAAAAAGTGGAATTTTTTTGGTGTTTAAGCTCATTTTCTTCCCTTTTTTTAGTCTTCAGAGCTACTAGGAAAATAAAAAAAGTTGAAATTCGGTTGAGATTTTTTTGATAAAATTAGAAATTTTTCCAGTTTTTTTATGAGGGTTTCTAAGCTATTTTAGAGTTTTTGGGGCTTTTTTCGAATTTTTGAAGTTTTTCAATACTTTCATGGCTGAGCTTTTCAATTTTTTTTGTATCTTGATTTTTTTTTTTTCAACTTTTCCACGCTTTTTAAGAGGTTTCCAAGCTTCCTGAAGTTCTTTTTTGGGTGAAAAATTTTTTTTCCTACACTAACTTCACGAATGAATCCAAGAAAAAGAAATATTACCAAGTTTGACGAGCGAATTATTGTGTGATGGTTGTGAAACCAACACAAGAAGAAGAAGAAAAACTGGTTTCTACGATCCGATTTGTTGGGATTTGTTGGGATTTATTGGCGGAAATGACAGGAGAATTGTATTCCTAGAAGATTCTTAGGACAATAAAGAGAAAAAAAAAGGGAAATTTTCCTCCTTTCAACCTTGAAAAAAGCCCTTGTGTGACCTTTGGACTGTTTCCCGTTCTTTCAAGAGGTTTCTTTGAAGCTTCTCCTCGGGGGCTTTCGAAATGTTACAAGTATCTTTATATGAAAGTTCAAGTTCGACGCCTTTTTTTGAGGGTTCCTTGTGGAAGGTTGAATGGGAAAAATGGTTCAAGGAAACGATTTTTCGAACTTTTGAGGGACTTTTTTTTTGAGAATGAAACTTGAAACTACGGCAACGTCTTCATATGGAAAAATTTGAACAAAATGGGAAAACTTTAATTTTTTTCTGCAATTTTTTCGACCAGCGTTCAAATTTCTGAGACGAGCTAGGAAAATTTATAGTGACCTCTTTAGGGTTTTTCGACATTTTAGTGGCCACTATAGTGGTGCAATTAGTGGCTAAATGTTATTGGTCTCCTTAGAAGTCAAGTGGTTCTACTGGACCATTGAAAACTACTATGGTGGTCACTAATGCTTCCATTAAGGTTTTCTTAGTGGCCCCTTTAGTGTCCTCTCCAAGTAGTCCTTGAGGAGCCTCTTAAGTAACCACTGGAGATTTTCCCAGTAGGCTGTACCGAATTTTGGCTAGAATCTCAACTTTTTCCCTCAAAAGGCTTTTTTGAGGTGCAACCGACTCGAAACGACTTGCGCGCTAAGGCATTTGTTTGATTGTCAAATCCGTTTCGACCGCGACCTTTTAGACATTCCAAATGCGACCACAGGGTTTTAAACCATATTATTTTGAAAGTGGAGAATTTATAATATTTTTCTCGATCTTTACTACACTCTGATACTAATCAGGAGAAAAATAAGGCATTGAAATTTGAGACTCTAAAAAAAATTAATTAAAAAAATTGGACTTCACTGAATTTAGACTAGAATCTTAATTTTTTTCACTCAGAAGGCTTGCCGTGGTAGTATCTAGAGCCGCATTTTCGAGGTGCAGCCGACCTGAAACGACTTGCGCGCGCTGGAATTTTTGTTGTGTTTAAAATCGACTGTAGCGACGGTTTTAGCCATTCCAAATGCGACCACAGGGTTTCAAACCATATTATTTTGAAATTGAAAAATTATTTCTCGATCTTTACTACACATTATAATATTTCTCGATCTTTGCTACACTCTGATCTTAAACAGGAAGGAAAAATTAGCCCTTGAAATTTGAGACTTTATAAAGTTCAGTAGATATCGGACTTTCTGAGAACTGGAAAAATTCGATCAGTCAGCTGAAGATTTTAAGATTTTTTCGTTGATTCCCAAAAAATTCGATTAATTGAACTCGGGTTCAATTCAAAAAGGCGTTTGAAAACGCCTAAATAAACTGGAAAGTGGCCTCTTGGAACTGCAGAAAAGGCGATTTTATGAGGCATGCCGTCGTTTTCCCACAACAACCATGCGTAAACGTGTATCATGTTTTGTCTCGGAACGAACGGAAGCCGAAATTGCAAAAATCCACTTTCCCCTCTTACAAGCTTCTTTCGAAGAAATGTTGCAATTTGTTTTTTTGGTTGGAGAAGGGATCGAAAAAATGACCGCTCCTTCTCATAATTTTCTCGTCTGTGCGAGAGATCAGGTTTACTTGAAGAGACGCCAGAGAAGCTAGAGTTTCTCTTTCTCTGGCGTCTCTACTATGAATTCTGCTACCTCAATCATTTTCCTTATATAGTAGAGTTCTCAAAACCGAACGTTCAAAAAATGACCGTTTGAAAAAAATGAACTTTTTCATTTTTCGATAGTTTAGGATATATCATTTTTCAAACGTTCAACCAAAAAGTTCGAAAAATCGTTTTTCTTATAATAATGAACGTTTGCTTTTTCACATAAAAAAACGGACGTTCGTTTTTTTGAACGAACTGTTTTGAAATGGAAAAATGAACGTTCACTTTTTGAACGAACTTTTCACGAGCGAAAAAAATGAACGTTCATTTTTTTAAACGAACTTTTTGAAATGAAAAAAATGAACGTTCATTTTTTTGAACGAACTTTTTGGAAAATGAAAAATGAACGTTCATTTTTTTGAACGAACTTTTTGAAAATGAAAAAAATGAACGTTCATTTTTTTGAACGAACTTTTTGAAAAATGAAAAATGAACGTTCATTTTTTTGAACGAACTTTTTGAAAATGAAAAAAATGAACGTTCATTTTTTTGAACGAACTTTTTGAAAATGAAAAAAATGAACGTTCATTTTTTTAAACGAACTTTTTTGGAAATGAAAAAAATGAACGTTCATTTTTTTAAACGAACTTTTTGGAAATGAAAAAAATGAACGTTCATTTTTTTGAACGAACTTTTTGGAAATGAAAAAAATGAACGTTCATTTTTTTGAACGAACTTTTTGAAAATGAAAAAAATGAACGTTCATTTTTTTGAACGAACTTTTTGAAAAATGAAAAATGAACGTTCATTTTTTTGAACGAACTTTTTGAAAATGAAAAAAATGAACGTTCATTTTTTTGAACGAACTTTTTGAAAATGAAAAAAATGAACGTTCATTTTTTTAAACGAACTTTTTGAAAATGAAAAAAATGAACGTTCATTTTTTTGAACGAACTTTTTGGAAAATGAAAAAAATGAACGTTCATTTTTTTGAACGAACTTTTTGAAAAATGAAAAAAATGAACGTTCATTTTTTTGAACGAACTTTTTTTACGAACGGAAAAATGAACGTTCATTTTGGTTGAACGTTCAAAAGCAAACTTGAACCAAAAAGTTTGGTTTCAACATTTGTTCGAAAATGTTTGGTCGAACGTTCGTTCGAACGTTTGGTTTTGAGAACTCTATTATATAGCTCAAAGCGCAAAACATTCTGACTTCTCTGTGCTCTCTCTTTTCTACGTAGTGTTTTCAAGTTTCTATGACTTTTCGGGAGTGGGAAAGAAAGCGCAGACAGGCCAGGCTTCTCCAAGAGAGATCACGGTCGGCTTGAAGAGACACCAGAGAAGCTAGAGTTTCTCTTTCTCTGGCGTCTCTTATGTGAGCATGCTGTTTCTCATGTAGGATTGTTATCAGAAATATTTAGCTCATAACCTGAAAAGTCTGACTTCTCTGTGCTCACCAGTGTTTATGTGCTTTCTCAAAAACTCTCTGACCTACCGGTGAGGGAAAAGAGGGAACAGACAGGTCAGACTCTTTCCAAGCAAAGAATGGGATATAACTTGAAAGGCAGTTTAATTTTGTCAAGGAGCAAGTCAGAGAGATCACGGTCGACTTGAAGAGACGCCAGAGAAGCTAGAGTTTCTTTTTCTCTGACGTCTCTCCTGTGAAGTGTGCTATTTCACACGCAGGACCGAAGTATTGAGCTCACAACTTGAAAATTCTGGCTTCTCTGTTCTCTCTCGTGTTTATGTGCTTTCTCAAAACTTATATGACCTACCGATGAGAGAAAAGAGGGCACAGACATGCCAGAAAATTGGATATAGCTTGAGAAAATTTTCATGAACCGAGTCAGAGAGGTCACGGTCGGCTTGAAGAGACGCCAGAAAAGCTAGAGTTTCTCTTTCTCTGGTGTCTCTTATGTGAGTATGCTGTTTCACATGTAGGATTGTTATGAGAAATATTTAGCTCATAACTTGAAAAGTCTGACTTCTCTGTGCTCTCTCGTGTTTACATGCTTTCTAAAAATTTCTATGGTTTTTCTGGTGAGAGAGAAGAGGGCACAGACAGGCCAGAAAAATTGGATATAGCTCGAGAAAATTTTCATGAAACTAGTCAGAGAGATCACGGTCGGCTTGAAGAGACGCCAGTGAAGATATATTCTCTCTTTCTCTGACGTCTCTTCAAGAAAAGTCGCCCTCTCAACATGACCAAACAGCTTAAACGAGAGAACGAGAACAAATAATTGAAATAGTAATCTTTCAGCGACTCCGCCCACTCCAACCATTGCTCATATTACAACAGCAACGTCGACGCAAGCTACGACTTTGCCTGGATCGACGGCGGCTCCAGTCACGGCTCCGGCCTCGACTCTTGCTCCGCGAGCCCGAGCCGACATCAAGCCGGTGACGTCATGCGAGCAAGTCGTCCCCTTCATCAACCAGGCTGCTGAGGTGTGGAAAAAAAAATTTGAGAAAATTGAGCCGCGATAATTACATAATGAGAAAGTGTTAAGGCGCTCCATGGCTAAAGTGTTCAAATTAAATTTTGATTTTTCTCTGCTTTTTGAGTTATCGGAGAAGCTGGAAAGAGTTGCAAGTCAGAATTAGACCAAGAACAAAGTTAGGAACGAACAAGAGCTTTTGCGCTCCATGGCTAAATTTTCAATTTCACTTTCAGAGTTACGTAGCTCAAAAATGAGGGAAACTACAAAAATTGAGCCACAGAAGTCAGACTTTAGAATCAAGCTTTTGCGCTCCAAGGCTAAATTTTGAGAAGTTATGGTCATTTTTTTCCAATGCGATGTATAAGCCGCGAATATTGAGCACTTGCGCTCCAAGGATAAATTTTAAGAAGTTAGGGTATTTTTCATCGATCAAGTGTTTGAGCCGCAAATATTAGGCTTTAGAATCAAAAGCTTTTGCACTCCAGGGCTAAATTTTAAGAACTCGAGATTCATTCTTTTTTTACTGCGAAGTTTAAGCCGCAAATATTTAGCTGTTGCGCTCCAAGGCTGAATTTCAAGAAATCATTATTTTTTTTCTTGATTGCAAAGTTTGAGCTCCAATTATTAGACTTTCCAACCAAGTTTTTACGCTCTCAAGCTTCATTCTGAAAAATTGCACAGGGAAGTTTGAGCCGCGATAAAATGAATCAAACGCGCGTCATGGATAAAATATTTTTTTCATAAACTTTCGGGGATTTTTCCTTCTTCAAGCAAGGATTTTTGAGGTGATGGCCGTCTCGAAGTTGGTCAACCCAGTGGAGGACAACTTTGGCCGAAACACCTTGTCCCTTGATGACGTCACGAGAAGCGTCAGCTCCGGATGCGTTATTCAGGTGATTTCAAAACGGCCAGAAAAAAGGAGGCTATGAATAACAATATTTTTTCAGTTATCCCAAGACGGCGTCGATTGCAACAAGAACCTCTGTTACCATTTGATGTACCGATCGTTCGACGGGACTTGTAATAATCTGGAGAAACCGATGCAGGGCGCCGCGTTCCGACAGTTTATCAGGTTGGTTTGGAAGTACACTTAGGGACGCCAGAGTGGTCCCTAGAGGGGCAACCTTATGGGCTCTTGAAGAGTCTCTAAAGGGGGCTTGCAAGCCGACCCTATACCTTTTTTTTAATGCTCCGAATCATATCAAAAGACCGAAATAGGGACCAACTAACAAGGGATCTAGAAAATTGGCTAGACCACGTCTTGATGTACCAAAAGGTCCTAGAACTCTGAACCTGCATAACTTCCCAGTTTTCGAGAAGTAAGGACCCAAAGCCTTAAAAGGGCCTGAGGGGGAATTCTAGTACATCAATGAGTAGTACATCAATGAGTGCTCTGGGCAATTTTTAGGGATTTACCTTCCTTGTAGGCTTTAGTAGCTTAGTGATAAGATCCTAGACCACTATAGGGGCCGTCTAAATTTAGCCCTATAGGGAGCACTATTTTGCCCCGTATATGGGGGGCTTCCTAACCTCTCTAGGGATCACTCGCATTTTTTTAAAATTAATTCTTTGATATTGAAAAATTATATGATTTGTCCAAATTTTCAGACACTTCCCATCGGAATACGATGACGGAAAGGGAGAGCCGATTTGTGAGTTTTTTTTTCTGCTTATCGAAGTTTAGAGTGTATTTTTTGGTGAATTTGTTCATTTGTTCTTTTCCCTGTGTTTTTTTCATTTTGGATTTTCTCTTTCTTTAGCTTCTCTCAAAGAAACGAGGCCGCCAGCTCGTGAGGCCAACCGCGTGATGCTCTCCTCCGCACAGTCCGTCGTTCATGATAAGGTGTGATAAATTAGGTTAACCTGAGCAATTTTGAGAAATAAAGGCGGCAGTTTAGAGCGAGAAGCCTGAGAAAATGTCTTTAAAAATTTAAAAAAATTTCAAAGCTATTTCTCATAGTAAGAGGTCATTGAATGGTCTCGCAACGAAAGTTACTGTATTTTTTTGGTTTTTAAAAGATCAAATCGGAGCTTATACTGTAATCATTACGATACCGTAACTCAAAAAAGAAAAAAAAAACCTTAAAACTCATAACTTTAGAGGCTATAATAATACATGAGAAAATCCGAGAACAGTTATGGGTACAATAAAACGAAGGGCTCGTCTTGCATTTTTTTTTTCTAAAAGATCGCAGCCTAATTCAAAAAAGGTTTCCGCTATTTATCTTTTTAGTATATCATGTGTTTAACTTCCCAAGTGCTCCTAATTCTATTGTCATTCATTTTTCTGATGGAAAATGAGATTGAAGTTTTTTCAATATTTCCGTCGTATCAAAGGCGCATGCATAGAGACTGGTCTTGAGCATCAAAATGAAGCTTCCCGGCAAAATATTCTGAAACATCCGTCATATTAAAGGCGCATACACAGCAACAGGTCTCGCGCATCGAAAGGGAGGTTTCCCGGAAGGATATTCTAAGATTTCAGTCATTTTAAAGGCGCATACATAGAGACAGGCCGCAAACATCAAAATTAAGCTTCCCGGCAGATTAGTCTGAAATATCCGTCATATTAAAGGCTCATGTGAAAAGACATTCCGTGCGCATCGTAGGGAAAGGTTCTGTAGCTCTGGGAAAAAAAAATTGTTAATAACTCTATCAAAAATGCTTCAACTTTGTATTTATTCAAGTTAAACACGAAAATCCTTGCAGTTCAACAACATGATGATGCAGTGGGGACAGTTCATGTCCCACGACATGGCCAAAACGACCCTCCAGCCGTCGGCTCAGTGCAAGACTTGCGATCCGATCCCGTCCAAGTGCATGGCCATCCCAATCAACGACAAGGATCCCAATGCTCAGTTCGTTTTTTTTTGGGAAGAAAATTTGAATTCTCTCTTCTCTAGAACAGGTATCGATAGGAAATGCTCATTTCTAACCGGTCAATTTAACTTGGGAACATCAGAGTGGTCTCTAGAGGGGTTAGGGAAAAAAAAAACAGCCCCTAGTGCTCCCTAGAGGGTTGGAGCTAACGTAGTCTCTAGAGGGATTTAGGGTCTGCAGCTTAAGTAGTATAGGGGTTTAGGGTTCGAATTGTAAGCCCCAGAAGCTTTAGTGGTTCCTATAGAGATTTGTGATCGGATTTGTAAGCTCCTGGAGCTTTAGTCTGACTTATAAGCCCCGGAAGCTTAAGTGGTCCCTATAGGGGTTTAAGGTCTGACTTGTGAGCCTCAGAAGCTTAAGTGGTCTTTTTAGGGGTTTCAGGTCTGACTTATAAGCCCCTGGAACTCAAGTGGTCCCTATAGGGGTTTATGTTCTGGCTTGTGAGCCCTTGAATCTCAATTGGTCCACATAGGGATTTATGATCGGATTTGTAAGCCCCTGAAGCTTAAGTGGTTCCTATAGTCGTTTAGGGTCTTATTTGTAAGCTCCTGAAGCTTAAGTGGTTCCTATAGGCGTTTAAGGTCTTATTTGTAAGCCCCTGAAGCTTAAGTGGTCCTTATAGGCGTTTAAGGTCTTATTTGTAAGCCCCTGAAGCTTAAGTGGTCCTTATAGGGGTTTAAGGTCTGATTTATAAGCCCCTGAAGCTTAAGTGGTTCCTATAGGGATTTATGATCGGATTTGTAAGCCCCTGAAGCTTGGATGGCCCTTATAGGGGTCTAAGGTCTGACTTGTGAACCTCAGAAGCTTAAGAGGCCCCTATAGGGTTTAGGGTCTTACTTGAATGCCCCTGAAGCTTAAGTGGTCCCTATAGGGGTTTAAAGTCTGATTTATAAGCCCCTGAAGCTTAAGTAGTCCCTATAAGGATTGAAGATCTGATTTATAAGTCCCTGGAACTCAAGTGGTCCCTATAGGGGTTTATGTTCTGGCTTGTGAGCCCTTGAATCTCAATTGGTCCACATAGGGATTTATGATCGGATTTGTAAGCTTCTGAAGCTTAAGTGGTTCCTATAGTCGTTTAGGGTCTTATTTGTAAGCTCCTGAAGCTTAAGTGGTTCCTATAGGCGTTTAAGGTCTTATTTGTAAGCCCCTGAAGCTTAAGTGGTTCCTATAGGGGCTTAGGGTATAGCTTATGAGCCTCTGAAGCTTAAGAAGCCCCTATAGGGGTTTAAGGTCTGACTTGTAAGCCCCTGAAGCTTAAAATGCTAGTTCATTAAATTTTTTCGGGTGGAAATGCTTCTTCTCATAGAGTTCATAACAATAAATAACTAGCATGTCCCCTTTAGTGGCCACTTCTTGCAAGCTTCAAGGTCCCTATAGGAGGAGGTGAAGTGGTCCCTAGAGGGGAACCTTCAAGTGCCCTTATGTTTGCCTCTCCACTCCGGTGTTCCTAAGAAGGGAAGTACAAAAAGACATAGCCTGAGAATTAGATGAGACCTAGCTCAGATGAACTTCCAGGTCCCTTGATTTTAGAAAAAGTGAAAAATTCACCGAATTTTGGTTTTTTAAGGATATATTACTTTCTTGAAAAGCGTTGTTCAGATTCAAGTCGAAACAATGCCTGAAAGTGTCCCGGTCGGCCCCGATCTGCCAAGTCGAGCCCCGGGAACAGCTCAACGAAAACACGGCCTACATCGACGCCTCGATGATCTACGGAAGTTCGCCGAAAGATCTGCACAAGTTCCGGGAAGGACGAACTGGACTCCTGAAACTGACCCGGTTCAATGATCAGGTACTGGGATATATTAACTCATTAAGGAATTTTTTTTTGGTCCCCGGTTGAAATTTTGATGGGACTTCTCTGGAGTGTACTTCAATACCTCCTGATCCCAGATAAAGTGAAAGTTTTTTTGAACCGCGGGTCCCTAGTCAGCCTCAAGATATTCTTGGTTCGTCTAGAAAATCAACTAGATTAGGATCCCTGAAGATCTCCATTAAAGGCATATATGAAGTAATAAACGAGAAAGTACCACTTTCAAGAGCTTTATAGGGCTAGGAACAACTTAAAATTGTAAAAAACGTGGAAAAACTGAAAATTGTCCATAGAGCAACTTTACTGCAGAATGCTGCGCTTCTGGCGGAGATTTGAACTTTCTCTACTCTGAATTATTTGGGTGAACCTTGAAGATGATCAATTTTGAGTTGCTTCCTGGAAGTTTTGTTATTTTGCAATCGACGTTATTTTTGGGCATCTTACGCTTTTGAAACCGCCTAGATTCATCTCGAGCATTTATTTACGCTAAAGCCCTCTCTGTGCCCAAAAACTGCCCTGGGTGAGCCCTTAAGAAGTCCCATTTTGAGTTGCTTCCCAGAAGTTCTGAGGCAAAGGGCGTAATTTTTGGGTCATTTCGCACCTTTAAAACCTCCTAAATTCAGCTCAGGCATTTTTTCACGCTGAAGCCCTCTCTGTGCCCGAAAACTGCCCTGGGTAAACCTTGAAAACTCCCACATTGAGTTGAGATCGTTTCCTGAGAGTTTGGAGGCGTAGAGCGTCATTTTTGGCTCATTTCGTGCCTTTAAAACCGCTTAGGTTTAGCTCAACCATTTATTTACGTTAAAGCCCTCTCTGTGCCCGAAAACTGCCCTAGGTGAACCCTTAAAAAGTCGCATATTGAGTTCAGAAATATTTTGAGGCGAAAGGGGGGCTTTTTTGGACGATTTTGCTCATTCAAGTACTCCAGTAATGATTTTTTTCAAACTCTTGGACTAAAACTATGATTTTTCAGATTTAATATTTATAAATATTATTATTGAATCTTGAAGATCGTCCTGCCATTCGACCAGGCCAAGTGTGTGAACAAGGAAAAGTGCACGGCTTCCTTCACGGCCGGCGACATCCGAGCAAATCTCTTCATCGGCCTCTCTTCCCTTCATATTCTCTTCGCCAGGGAACATAATAGGTAAGAAATACCTGAGAAAAATGACCAGAAAGTCGAGAGAAAAAGCAGAGAAATGAGCTGTCCAAGGTCATTTTACTTTGTGGTTGGGGATTTTCTGAAACTTGGCCAGAACACTTCTTGATGTACCAGATGAAGATCCTGAAAGTCTCAACCTACACACTTTCCCAGTTTTCGAAAAGGAAACCTCAAAATTTGGGAGCTTGGAGCCCTTATTTCTCGAAAATTGGGAAGTTGGGCAGGTTGGGATTTTCAGAATCCTCATCTGGTACATCAAGGAGTGTTCTGGCCGGTAACTAAAACTAACCAAAAAAAAAATGACCTTCTGATAAGGCAAGTGTAAGGCTTCTTACAAGCGGGTAAATTTATAAAAATTTGTGGAAATAAGGTAGAAAACTGAGCTCCGACCCTAGGAAGGTAGTTTTGACATTAAAAAAAAAGCAGGTTTAAGCATCAGGAGGTAGCTCTGACTTTAGTTTAGGAAAACTTAGGAGAAGGCGATGTTCGAAAAAGGTCTGTCCATTTATGTCTCTAAGGATTTGTTCGGGAACGAATTTAAGATTTTTCATGATTCCCATCAACCTTTTTCCTCAAACTTTGATAGCAAAGACTAAAGAAAGATCTGAAGAAAAATAGCCTAAGAATCGAAATCTTTGAAGCCCCATACAGAATTCGTAAGCTTACCAAAGCAAGCTCGAGATAATGAATAAAGATAAGGTCAAAAAACGAAACCAACTAGTGAACTGATAAGATTTTGAAGATGTAAAAACAGAAGAAGCTGAAAATTAAAATTCCCGAAGCCTAATATAGAGCTTATAACTTTTTTTTTTATCAATATTAAAGATTGAAAATGTTGGAAAACTCTTAATTCAAGTGGTTTGAAAAGTTTTTCTTTTCCAGAATTGCCCAGAAGATGATGGACATGAACTCGGCATGGAGCGGTGACCGAGTTTTCCAAGAAACCCGAAAAATCGTCGGCGCAGTCGTTCAGAACATCCTCTACAAGGTATGAAGTACCTCTGTGAAACTTTGAAATTAGTCTGAAATTTTTTGAAATCCCATGACTTTTCAGTTCTCTTAAACAGGTAAAGGTCCTGAAAACTTTAACCTTCGATACTTCTTAACTTTTGTGAAGTAAGGCCTCTGACCTTTGTTAACGCAAACCGGAGGTTTCTGAGCATTTCTAGGGACCACTTTAGCGGGGTCAGCATCCTTGAGTGGTCCCTAGGATTGATCAGGAAGGTATTCAGTTGTTACCGAGGTCCGAGATTTTCTTGTTTTTTTTTTTTGGAACTTGAAGGGTTTTTAAAGAATTTTCGTAGATTGAGATCATTCGATATGATAAAATTCGCCATTCTGCTCGGCTGAAAAAATTGAAGAAATTTTCTCTGAGAAGTTGAAGAAATGAAAAATAAAGGTATTTTTCAGGAGTACCTCCCCAAATTGCTCGGCGTCTCTTTGGAGAAGATCGTTGGGTCTTACAAGGGATACGATAAAAATGTGAGTTTCGAAAGAAGAGGATAAAAAGAACAAGCCGGGTGAATACCTCGAATATCCTATCCTTTTCTAGACTTTAACCATTTTATTCATAAGTTCCAATCGTTACAACCTCTCTTCTGAAAAATCTCATACCTTTCTAGAAGGTTCCAAATTGCTCCAGAGGGTTCTATCATTTTTGAAAGCCCCTGAACACCATTTTTTGTTTCCAGAGTCCATCATATTCCCAACCTCATATACTCTCTAGACACTACCTTTTTCCTGGAATACTCCAAAATTTTCCGGATCTCTAATCTTTGATATCAAGTATAATAATCGTATTCATGATCATAGATTTATTCACCCCTTAAGATAGTAGAATAACCAGTAATTAATCCACCATATACTCTGGCCCAAAGTTGGACGAGAATTTGAGCGATCGGGAAGGAATTGATTATTACATAGCAATCATTGGGAGGTCATCAACCTTGACCCGTGGAGAAAAAGAAAAAAACCATATATTTTTGTTCGAAAAAGATAGGATTCTTCTTTGCCCCTTTGTACTAGAGTTCTCAAAACCGAACGTTCAAAAAATGACCGTTTGAAAAAAATGAACTTTTTCATTTTTCGATAGTTTAGGATATATCATTTTCAAACGTTCAACCAAAAAGTTCGAAAATCGTTTTTCTTATAATAATGAACGTTTGCTTTTCACATAAAAAAACGGACGTTCGTTTTTTGAACGAACTTTTTTGAAATGAAAAATGAACGTTCATTTTTTTGAACGAACTTTTTGAAAATGGAAAAATGAACGTTCATTTTTTTAAACGAACTTTTTGGAAATGAAAAAAATGAACGTTCATTTTTTTGAACGAACTTTTTGAAAATGGAAAAATGAACGTTCATTTTTTTGAAACGAACTTTTTGAAAATGAAAAAAATGAACGTTCATTTTTTTGAACGAACTTTTTGAAAATGGAAAAATGAACGTTCATTTTTTGAACGAACTTTTTGAAAATGAAAAATGAACGTTCATTTTTTGAACGAACTTTTTGGAAATGAAAAATGAACGTTCATTTTTTGAACGAACTTTTTGAAAATGAAAAATGAACGTTCATTTTTTGAACGAACTTTTTGAAAATGAAAAATGAACGTTCATTTTTTGAACGAACTTTTTTACGAACGGAAAATGAACGTTCATTTTGGTTGAACGTTCAAAAGCAAACTTGAACCAAAAGTTTGGTTTCAACATTTGTTCGAAAATGTTTGGTCGAACGTTCGTTCGAACGTTTGGTTTTGAGAACTCTACTTTGTACCCCTTGAGACGGCCCAAGCCGATTAGTCGAGGTCCTAACCTGATGTCAGTGATAACCAGGCTCTATTGACATATCCTGGAGACTTTGAAGTCGTGGTTTCCCACTACCAACATTTCTTAAACCCCTTGGTTGGGTCGAGGCGGGGGATCGATCTTGTGACCCTATGGACCGTAGAAAGGCACACAACCCGTTGCGCTACAGCACGCCCCAAATGTTAGATTGACCAATACATTTTTTAGGAGCTTGGAGTGGGAGCTGAACTGAAATTCGGAAGAGAGTTCGTTCCAAATAAAAATAGTGTTAATGAAAAATCATTGCAAGAGTAACCCCTTGATTATGTCGTGACGGGGATCGAACTTGTGACCCTTTGAACCGTAGGCAGGAACACAACCTGTTGCGCCACCCGCTCTTTGAATCTTTCTGAAAAGATGAAATTCAGGTGGATGCGACGATTGCCAATGAATTCACGACCTCGGCCTTCCGTTTCGGTCATGGAATGATTGAGGTAAGAAGAAAAAATTAGAAAAAAGTTATTTCGCAGAAAAAACGTACAACTCACAAAGAAGGTCATTCAACTTTGCAGTTGGGAACTTAATTAAAATTACCAAGACAACTTCCTGATAAACCAGATAAAGATTCTGAAAGCGTTTAAGTTATGTAGGCTATGTAGTCGTTAAGGCTCTCAGAAACTTATCAAGAAGTTTTTTGGCATTTAGCCAGTAAAATTCAAAACGTAAAGTAAGATTAACTTTCTTGTTAGAAGCTGATTGCTCTGAAATAGATTTATAGAAAAAAAAACATGATTAGTTTTCAAGTTTAGGATCATTTAAAAGAAGTGTAGAAACTCAAGAATTCCATCAATTTTTTCAAGGAGTTCTACAAACGAGTCGACTTCTCCGGTGGCAACATCACGGACGGCGGGTTCTCCTTCGGAGATGGAGTCTTCAAATCTGGAAAAATCCTCTTTGAAGGTAGTTTTCAAGGAATTTTGCAATGATAGTGGAGTTTATGCGCTCTATCGATAAGTTATGAACAATAACAATTCAATTTATGGAAGATTTTTCGAAATCCCTTGATGAAATTGAGGTCTAATAAGCATAAGGGGATTGTAAAAAACGAATGAGAAAAAAGAGCCTAGTTTGAGTTGAGGCTTATGCGCTCCATGGCTAAATCACTATCAAGACTGGTTTTTAGATTTTTTCTTTGGAAATGATACTTCTCGTCACAGCTTCTAGGACCTTGGTAACGAAAAACCGACGCGCCCGGACGTTTTTGAGCAATTCTAGGGATCACTTAAGAGTGCTGACTCTACTAAAGTGGTCACTAGAAGTGTTCCGAAACATCAGAAGGTCCGAATCAAAAATTATTTTGAAGATCGCTTGAGAATGAATAGCCTTATCCGCTTAGTTTTGTGCGCTCCACGGCTAATTTAATGCGAAAAACAGATTTTAGAATTTCTCTTTGTTTTTAGTGAATGAAGAACTTTCATAGGCCCGGCTGATTTTTTTCTCTTGATTCCATACTGATAACGATAAAAAATTCGCAAATTTCCAGAAAAGAATATGAAAAAGGTGCTTGACGAGCAAATTATCACTATACTCCCGTGTATTGTTGCCTAAATTTCCTTCTGACCAGGTGGAATCGACCCGATTCTTCGTGGATTCATGGCCACAGCCGTTAAACGTCCACACCGGATGACGCCGGCGATCACCGAGAAAATGTTCGGAAGGTAATCATCAACATTCTATTTCTTGATTTTCAAAAAAAAAAGGGCCCTGAACTGTCTTACGTACCTGCTACGTGGATAAGGCTTGCAAATCAGAAAACCAGATTATGCATCTCAAAATGGATCGAGGGTATCTAATAATACTGTGCAAAACTTTAATGGTCACATAAGAAGTTCTTAAAGAGGACACTAAAGTGGCCACTGAAACCAGCCTTATAGAAGCCACTATTTTACGTCTTAGTGGTCAATACTGTAGTTTTTAGTGGCCCGTTTAGACTTCTAAACAGGGCCATTCTAGTGGTCACTTATTCGACCACTATAGAGGCCGCTTGAACGTCAAATCCCTAAAGTGGTCACTAATAAACTTCCGGTATACATTTCAAACCAAACCAGAGGGTAAAGGTATACCTCAAGGGCAACGAATTTCGCGTAGGTATACCTGTGGTACCATCGTGATACCTTTGGATACCTTTGCTCGCTCATACTTCATGCGCTTTTCCATGTTAAAATTGAAGAAATCGATAATTACTCCATTAATGGATACCTTTCCAGCACTGACCTCGGATCCCTGAACATCCAGAGAGGCCGCGACCACGGTATCCCGCCCTACAACAAGATGCGAACGTTCTGCGGCCTGAAACGGGCCGAGGACTTTGAAGACTTCGGCGACATGATCCTCGACAAGAACCTCAGGATCGGACTCTCCAAGAACTACAACACGACAGGTTTTTTCGGGAAAAGTGGTCACTGAAGGGTTGAGAATGATTATACTCTCCTCATAATGCCTAGAACTTCCTGGATGTTCCGAATCCTTTTCGGGATTTTTTAAGGAATCATTAAAGAGCCGCTGAAACTTCTTAAGTGGTCACTGAAGGGTTGAGAACTTTTGAAATGATTGTATTCTGATCAGGATGCCGCTTAGAGTTTTCTGCGAGTTTCAGATTGCTTCAAAATTTTCAAGGGATCATTGAAGGGCCGCTAAAATTTCTGAAGTGGTCACTTAAAGTGTTACTACAACCAGTGGCTCCTGAAGAGTTGAGAGTTTCTTCTCAGGATGCCAAGGACCTTCTGAAAGTTCTAAAATTTTTTGAGGAAGGGACGCGAAACTTTTCAAGTGGTCACTGAAGGGCTTTAAAAAAATATATATTCTTCTCATGATGCTTAGGACCTTCGGAATGTTCCAGATTGCTCCTGAGTTCTCAATGGGTGGTTGAAGCGCCACTACAACCACTGAAGTGACCCCTGAAGGGTTGAGAGCTTCAGCTCAGGATGCCTAGAACCTTCTGGAAGTCCCAAACCTTTTTTAAGAATTTTCAAGGGGCTATTAGAGGGCCACTAAAACCACTGAAGTGACCCCTGAAGAGTTGAGAGTTTCTGCTCATAATGCCTAGGACCTTCTGGAAATTCCAAATTCTTTTACGGGTTTTCAAGGGGTCATTATAGAGCCATTACAACTTCTGAAGTGATCCCTGAAGGATTAAGAGTTTCTGCGCATGGTGCCTAGACCTTCTGGAAGTCATAAGATTTTTCTGGGAATTTCAAGGGGACATCAGAGGGCCACTACAACCTCTGAAGTGACCCCTGAAGTGTTGAGAGTACTACGACCTCTGAAGTGACCCCTGAAGGGTTGAGAGTTTCTGCTCATGATGCCTAGGACCTTCTGGAAGTTCCAAATTTTTTGCTGAATTTTCAAGGTGTCCTTAAAGGGACGCGAATCTTTTCAAGTGTTCAAGTGGTCACTGAAGGGCTCTCAAAATAATTAGATTTTGCTCTTGTCCACAAATGTCTTCTAGAAGTTCTAGAAACTGTAGTTGATCACCCGAATTCCAGACGACGTCGACTTCTACGTCGGAGCCATGCTGGAAGATCCAGTTGTTGGCGGTTTGGTAGGAACGACGTTGAGCTGCGTCATTGGCGAGCAGTTCAAGCGATTGCGCGACGGCGATCGGTGGGGCGCACTTGCCTTCTTCTTCATCATTTTTGGAATTTTTCCAGATTCTACTTTGAGAACCCCGGCATTTTCACGCCGGAACAAGTCGATCAGCTGAAGAAGGCTTCGTTGTCGAGGGTGATCTGCGACAATGGAGATCATTTCGAACTTATTTCTCAGGTGAGAGAAAAAAAAGTTTCAAGAAAACCTTTAAGTTTGAAAAAAAAAATTAAACTATACAGTTTTAATAATTCCACATGTAGGACAGAATATGATAGGAAAAGTGTTCTGAAAAAAAAAAGAAAATATAATTTGCTATGTTTGATACCTTTCAAGGTCGATTGTGGGAACGCTTAGAGCGATTTTTTTTTCCCCGCACCCGACCTAAAACGACTTGCGCTCGAGAGCCAATTCACTCCTTTTTCCGTGTTTTGAAGAGTTCTTCACATCGCACTGAAGTTACGGAATGAAACATCAATTTCAGTGAAAACATTTTTAAACTCCTCGAGATTTTTAAATGTTCTGGTCGCATGTAGAATGGCTCTATGCCTTGTGGTTGCCCTGCGGTTTGATTAACAGAAGTAAATGGACTTTATAACTGCGCCCGACCTTGAGCGGCTTTCCCCCATTCTTACGCCTTTACTCATTTTTTTTTTTGATCAGCAAACCTTTGAGCCATTCCCAGTGCGACCACCACGGCTTCTTAAATTGTCATGAATCAACAAAATTATATAAATTTTTCAGGACGCATTCTTGCAAACGGGATCCCAAATGTCGTCTTGCAAACAACTGCCGGAAGTCGACCTGACCGCGTGGAAAGCGTAGAAAATTTGAAAAATCTTCAAAAAAAAAAATATCCAAACTCAGTGCATGTATAGTTTATGTCCTCTTTGAGAAAAGTGCAAATTTTGTTTTTTGTCCCATATAGTCCCTTTACCTCGATTTTTGTCCCGATTTACTAGTCGCCGATTTTTTTTTCGATCTTCACCGTTTGATATAACAATAGAAAAAAAAACAACGAGGCTCCAGTTTGCGACGTGAAAAATGATTTTTGCGGCCATTTTCGAACATTTTTGATTTATTTTTACGATGCTCCAGTTTACAGCAGTATTTTTTCTTGGGAAATACCCTTTTTGGAGTTATTTTGAGGGGTTTTCAATTAATTGAACGATGCTCCAGTTTACGGCAGTCGTTTTTGTCGGAAAATGCTTTTTTGGATTCGGTTTGAGCAGTTTCCATAAAAATTAACGTCGCTCCAGTTTACGGCAGTCGTTTTTTCTCAAAAAAAAAAGGCAGCTTTGGAGCCATTTTGAGCAGATTTCATTGAATTGAACGATGCTCCAGTTTACGGCCAATTTTCAAAGATTTATATCAAACGGTGACGTCATTTTTCTCTCTCTCCTTCTCATTCCCTCTCGAAAATACGTTGTCTCTTGTCAATTTCATTGAGAGAAAAAAAATCCACAAATCCCCCCAAAAAAGCCGTTTGAAAAAGAAAATGCGAAGTAATAACGGCCTCCCCTCCCAAAACCACATACCGGTCTAATATTGCCAATATCCGCCTTTTTTCCGCACAAATTTATATTCCCCATTCATTTTTCCTGCCAATTAGATGATGTTTTTCGTGAATTTCACTCAAAGTTTCTATGTCCATGTAATAAAGATTTGAATTTTGATGAAAAAAAGTTGATTTTGAAAAAAATTTGAGGTTTTTAGCCTTTTTTAAATGCTTGAAGTGAGTATTTATGAACAAATTATACGAAGCTCCAGCTTACGCAATTTTTTTTTCGAAAGACTTTTTGAGGTTAATTTTGAGCGTTTTGATTAATTTAAACGTTGCTCCAACTTACGCCGAAAATTATTTCAAACGACGCTCCAACTTACGCTAGAAAATTATTTCGAACGACGCTCCAACTTACGCTAGAAAATTATTTCAAACGACGTTCCAACTTACGCCAAAATTTTTTCCAACGTACGCCAAAATTGTTTCAAACGACGCTCCAACTTGCGCGAAAATTATTTCAAACGACGCTCCAACTTACGCTAGAAAATTATTTCAAACGACGTTCCAACTTACGCTAGAAAATTATTTCAAACGACGCTTCAACTTACGCCATAAATTATTTCGAGCGACGCTCCACTTGACGGTTTTTCTTGACAACTTTAAATGCCATTTTTTTGAAACTGCAGAGTGGTCCCTTAAGGACTATTGGAGGTTACACTCTAGGGACCACTTTATCGTTCCCTATAGGGGCCACTGAAGCTTGGAAAAGTGGCCCCTATAGGGGGCATATTACTCGATTATTGAGGAACCATTTCCATACGAAAAACACAAAACCCTATAGGGACCACTTGAGCTTCAGGGGCCTTGGAGTCAGGCTCTAAATCCCTATAGGGACCACTTTTATGTCCCCTTAAGGGACTGTTTTTCCCCTAACCCCTAGAGGGACCACTCTGACGTTTTTTGAACGTTTTCCGTTGAAAATAGACTCTCCAATACATAAGGCATTGAAAAATCGAGATCAAATATTCAAAAATACAAGAAAAGACAAAAAAAAGATAGTGATTACGAAGAGGTCCAGACGGTCAGAGAAACCGGCCGGAAAGCGTATGTCGTCTGGCGCCCTCTCACTCTCTCGCCGTGACTCTGTTTCTCTAGTGCCCTCTCTCGGAATTCGCTCTCTCTCCACACGTTTTCCGTCGCCCACAACACACCTTGCCGGTACGCCGTCTTTCCTTTCTCGGAACTGTTTTTTTGTATACTTTTTTTCATTTTTTTCACTGTCTAAGGTAGTATTATAGAATATTTATTGATGGAAATTTGAATTTATTCGCAAAAAATCACGTTTTTGAGCCGGTTTTTTAAAATTTGGAACTGTTTTTTTGTCATTTTATTGATTTTTTTGGCGAAAAAGACTTATTTTTGCTTTTTTCTGTGCTCTTCTGATGATGGTGAGACGATGAAAAACACGTCTGGGAGATCTTTTTTGAGTTTATGTTAGGATTTTCAAGTTTCACAAAGGTTTTTTTGGATTTTTCATGCGAAAAAATTATTTATTTCGGGTTTTTTTGAGCCTTTTTTTCAATAAGAAAATCGAAGAAAAAGACAGATTTTAACGAAATTTTCGAAATTTACGATAGAATTTTTTTCGAATTTTTCAGAGTTTTTTTCAATAATTTATTGAATTTTTCGTCTGTGAAACCGCTATTTTTTTGTTTTAAGAGCTCATTTTTTTGAATCGAAATTTGAATTTATTCGTGTTAATAAGCTGCAAATTGTCAATTTTGAGAGTCTTTTTTTGAGAAGTATGACCAAAATTGGCTCATTCTTCATGTGAAAAACTAATTTTTTTCGAAATTCGATTTTTTTTCGAATCTTTCTAGAGGAGTAGTGGTTTTTTTCTAATTTTTCCTCTGGAAAAGTCGCTTTTTTTCTTGTTTTTTTCTTCATTTTAAGACGTTAATGATGCATTTAAAAAGCCGAACAATGTTGTTTATCTCAAGTTTATGACGAAATTTTTAAGTTTTCCAAAAGTTTTTTTGTACTTTTTTTGATGTTTGTAGTCATTTTTGGACCATGTAAAACCTTGTTTCCTTCAATTTTTTTTAGTTAAAATCTTAAAAATCGGGTTTTTCAAGTTTTTAATCACTTCAGACCGTGTAAAACCTCATTTTCTTCAATTTTTCTAGTAAGAATATTTGAAAATTGGGTTTTTTCACGTTTTTAGTCACTTTAGACCATGTAAAACCTCGTTTTCTTCAATTTTTCCTTGTAAAATTCTTCAAAATTATGTTTTTCTCTAGTTTTTAGCCTTCGACAATGTAAAACCTTCTTTCCTTCAATTTTTTCCCAGTAAAAACCTTCAAAATTTGGTTTTTTCAAGTTTTTAATCACTTCAGACCGTGTAAAAACCTCATTTTTCTTCAATTTTTTTCCAGTAAGAAATTTCGGAAATCGGGTTTTTTTCTAGTTTCTAGTCACTTTGGACCATGTAAAACCTTCTTTCCTTCAATTTTTTTAGTTAAAATCTTAAAAATCGGGTTTTTTTCAAGTTTTTTTAATCACTTCAGACCGTGTAAAACCTTGTTTCCTCCAATTTTTTCAGCAAAAAATATGTTTTTTTCAATTTTTCAGTCACTTTGGATCATGTAGAATCTTGTTTTCTTCAATTTTCCAATGAGAAGCTTAAAAAATCCTTTCGAGACGCCTCTGAAATTTCAAAACACAATGGAAACCTTCCCAGTGAGTCACTCGAGAATTGTCTTTTCAGCCCCCGTTTTTCCAATTTCTTATCAATTTTTTTCTTCTCGAGCACGTGATAAGGCTCTATTGTGTTTCTGTTCAATTTATCGATCGAAAAAATCAATTTTCCGCCAAGAAAATGAAAGGAACTGAGAAACTGAGTTAATTTGGTCTTCTCTTCTCTTTTTTTTTTGGAAGAGAAGATTTTCTCCCTTTTCCTAATCGTCTTGTGTTCGTTTTGTCGTTTTTGAGCTTCTTTGCGGCTTTTTCTAGAGTTTGAATAGGCTTTCTAAAAATAGTTGAGAAGGAGAAAAAAGTTTTTTTTTCTAGAAAGCGTAAGTTTCTACAGATTTACACTTTGAAAATTAAAAAAAAAGAAAATTTTATTCAAATTGAGTTTTTTTATCGTTTTTCTGTCATTTTTGAGCTTTTCCAATATTTCAAAAGTTTTCGAAATGAAAAATTGAAAAATGAAGAGTTTTCATTCAGTTTTAGCCTTTTTCGATCATTTTTTGTACTGAAATCCTTTTTTTTTCCTTTTCTAGTAGGTTTTAACTTTTTTTTAAAAGGTACTGAGTAAAAAGAAGTTTTTTCTTGACATTTTCAGCTTCTCCGGACGTTTTTCTGTCGAATCTCATACGGAAATTCACGTTTTTTCAGCTTCGAATTCTGATTTTTTTCAAATTTTCTACTTCTTGATCGTTTTTATGTCGATTTTTGTAGTGAAACTCTTGTTTTTCCTACGTTAGGCTTCGAAAAATTTGTTTTTGAAGCGATATTGGTGTGAAGTACATGTTTCGAAATCACTCAACCGAGTCAAAAAATCCCGTTTTCCTTGGAAAAAGCTCATTAAAAATGCACTTTGTTGGTGAGAAGAAATCGGGCCAAAAATAGGGAAAAAGCTTCCTTTCAATAATATTTCCTTCAAAAGTAAACGAAAAGCTTCTTGATCCAATTTTCCACAAAAAAGCCGGTCTTTGGTGGGAATTTTGTTGCACTCTTGGTCCTTTTCGATTGTTTGGCTTGCGGTTTATTTTTGCTTCCTTCGGTCATTTTTAGCGATTTTTAAAGATTTCATGGTCTTTTTCGGAGTGTCTAAGATTGTTTTTTTCATTTTTCCAAAAAATCCGGACAGTCTGACTTGTCTTAGCTCTCTTTTCTTTCATGGAGCCCTAAGAACGCGGAGATAGCACGTGAACATGAGAGGGTGCAGAGAAGTCAGACACTTTGAAATTGACATGTTTTCATGCTTTGAAACATTTGAACCCTCTGGCTTGTCTGCGCTCTCTCCTCTCTTATCGGAAAGATCTTGGAGAGGGAAAAGAGGGTCTAGAGAAAGCAGACAGAATAAAATGAAATTTGAAGCTGTTTCACGAACAAAATATCCGTTTTTTCCGCTATTTTCCAAAGACTTGAAGCTTCAGACTTTCTCAGAATCTCAATGTTGCCCAAAATGAAAAATCACCTCTTGGCCTGTCCACCCGTTCTAGACAAATTGCGGTCAGCTGCTCCTCATTTCCCTGCCATTTCCACATGTTTCCTTAGATTTTCTTCCAGTCCTCTTCTATTGCGTGCCCCTCCT